TGAGGTCTGTTCAGATCTTTTGCTAATTTTTAAATCAGATTGTTTTCTTATTGTTGAGTGTTAAGAGTTTTTTGTATTTTCAAATACTAATCCTTTATCAAATATGTCTTTTGTGAGTATTTTCTCCTAGTCTGCAGCTTGTCTTCTCATTCTCTTGACATTGCCTTTCATGGAGCAGAAGTTTTAAGTTTTAATAAAATCGAGCTTATCAATGATTTCTTCATGGATGATGCCCTTGATATTGTATCTAAAAAGTCTTTGCCATACCTGAGGTCACCTGGATTTTCTCTTATGTTAATTTGCTCTTCTTTTTCTAGTTTTCTAATGTGGAAGCTTAGATTATCAATTTTAGATATTTCTTCTTTTCTAACACATGCATTCAATGTTATAAATTTCCCTCTAAGCAGTTTTCACTGCATCCCACAAATTTTGATAAATTGCATTGTCATTTTCGTTTAGTTAAAAAAATTTTTATATTTCTCTTGAGATTTCTTACTTGACCCGTGTGTTATTTACAAGTGTGTTGTTTAATCTCCAAGTGTTTGGGGAGTTTTCCAGCTGTCTATCTGTTATTAATTTCTAGTTTAATTCCACTGTGGTCCAAAAGCAGACATTGTATGACTCCCATTTCTTTTAAATTTGTTACAGTGTGTTTTATGGCCCAGAAGATGGTCTATCTTGGTGAATGTTCCATGAGAGCTTGAGAAGAATGTGTATTCTGCTGTTACTGGATGAGCTAGTGTATAAATGTCAACTGTATCCAGTTGAGCAAGGGTGCTGTTTACTTCAACTATGTCCTTACTGATTTTCTGCCTGCTGGATCTATTTCTGATAGCAGGATGTTAAAGTCTCCAACTGTAGTATTGGATTCTTCTTTTTCTCTTTACAGTTCAGTTTTTGCCTTGTGAATTTTGATGCTCTGTTGTTAGGCACATACACATTAAGAATTGTTATATCTTCTTGGAATAGTGACCCTTTTATCATTATGTAATACCCCTCTTTTATCCCTGATAAATTTCCTTGCTCTGAAATCTACTCTGCCTGAAATTAACATAGGTATTCCTACTTTCCTTTGATTAATGTTAGCGTGATGTATCTTTCTCCATCCCTTTACTTTTAATCCATATGTGTCTTTATATTTAAAGCGGGTTTCTTGCAGACAGCATTGGGTCTTTTTTTTCTTTTAATCCATTCTGACATTCTCTGTCTTTTAATTGGGATATTTAGATCATTGATGTTTAAAAAGATTACTGATATAATTGAATTAACATCTACCATATACGATACTGTTTTCTATTTGTTGTCCTTTTTCTTTGTTTCTGTTTTTGTCTTCCACAATTTTTCTACCTTTTGTGATTTTAATTGAGCATTTTTTAAGATTGATCTTCTCATTTCTTAGCATATCAATTATAAATTATACTTTTCTATAAAAACTCTTTTTTAAAAAACTTTTAAAAACCGCCTTTTTAAATTATCTTTAAGAAAAAAACTGATTGCTCTTGAGTTTGCAATATGCATTTACAACTACTCCAAGTCACCTGCTTTCAAGTACTATACCACTTCACAGGTAGTGTAAATGCCTTATAACAACAACAGAAATAACATATAATAACCAAAAAAACCCCCCAAAATCCTAATTCTTCCCTCCTGTCTCTTATATCACTGCTGTAATTCAGTTCACTTATGCATAAGGATTCATAAGTGTCTATGTGTGTATATATGATTATATGTGCTTACATATATAACACATTGTTGCTATTATTTTGAACAAAACTTTCTGTTAGATCAACAAAGAATAAGAAAAACAAAAGTTTTTCTTTTACCTTCATTTATTCTTTCTCCAGTGCTTTTCCTTTCTGTATATAGATCCAAGTTTCTGATCTATATGATTTTTCTTCTCTCTAAAGAACTTTTGACATTTCTTGAAAGTCAGGTCTACTGGTAACAAATTCCCTCAATTTTTGTTTATCTGAGAAAGTTTTTATTTATCCTTCAGTTTTGATGGATAATTCCAAGAGTATAAAATTCTAGATTGGTGGGGTTTTTTTTCCTCTCAACATGTCAAAATACTTTACTCCATCCTCTTCCTTGCATGTTTTCTGAGAAGTTGGATATAATTCTTATCTTTGCTTCTTTATAAATAAGGTGTTTTCCCCCCTCAGCTTCTTTCAAGATTTTTTTCTTTATCTTTGATTTCTTGGATTTTGAATATGATATACCTGGGTATAGTTTTTTGTTGTTTGTTTGTTTTGGCATTTGCCCTACTTGATGTTCTTTGAGCTTCCTGGATCCGTGGAGTGATGTCTGACATCAATTTGGAGAAATTCCTAGTCATTGTTACTTCAAATATTGTTTCTGTTTCTTTCTCTCTTTCTTTTCCTTCTGGTATTTCCATTACACGTATATTCCATCTTTTCTAGTTGCCCCGCAGTTCTTGGATATCCTGTTTCATTTTTTTCCAGTCTTTTTCTCTTTGCTTTTTAGTTTTAGAAATTCTATTGAAATTTCAGAGGGTCTCTCCTCAACCATGTCCCTATTAATGAGCCCATCAAAAGCATACTTCATTTCTTTTACAGTGTTTTTGATCTCCAGCATTTTGACTCTTAGAATTTCTATCTCCCTGCTTGTACCATCTATCTGTTCTTACACATTGTCTACTTTTTCTTTTAAAACACTTTGCCTGTTAATCTTAGTTTTTAAAAATTCCTGGCCTGATAATTTAAACATTCATGCCATATCTGACTCAGGTGCTGATGCTTGACCAATTTCTTCAAACTATGTTTTTTTGCCTTTCAGTATGTCTTATAATTTTTAATTTTTGAAAGCCAGGCAGGATGTACTAGGGAAAAGGAACTGCTGTAAAGAGACATTTAGTAATGTACTGGTAAGGCATGGGGGCAGGGGGAGCATTCTTTAGTCCCACAATTGGGTCTCAATCTTTTGGTGAGTCTGTGCCCTGGCCTGTGAATTTCACCAATGCTTCTGTTCCTCCTCCCCAGCTTCAGTGGGACAGTATGGCTAGAGGGAGCTGGAGCTGGTATTTCCTTCCTTCACATGGAAGATTAAAGTAGGCTGGAGCTGAGTATTTCTCTTCACCTAGGTTTAATTAGGCTGTGATAAAACCCCAGTATGTTAGTCTCTAGTAAATAATTTTGATTGAGGGCAGGCTTGTTAAGAACTGAATTCTCTGGCACATTTCAAAATGATTCCTTTTTCCATCTCCCTGCTGGAGGCACAAGGGGATTTTTCTCCAGTATTCACTGTGAGATCCTAGTGGATGTCCTGGAGGTAAAACTCCCCAAACTATGGGGGCCCCTATGACTGGTTTCTGTGGAGAGTTTGACTCAGAGGCTCCACACTGAGCTTCCAACTATTTGTCAGTTGCAGTTCGGGCTTTCCTAGCCCTGCAGTGGTTTCCACAGAGGTTTCTGCTCTGGTAAGGTGTGAATCCCAGTATCCTCCTCTTTGTTTCTCCAATTTTGGGAGCAGGAATTTGCCTTGCGACCTCACTTGTCTGATGAATATAAGAAGAGTTGTTGACATTTCAGTTTGTTAGCTTTTTATTAGGATGCACTGGTGACTTCTGAGCTCCATACATGTCAGACCAGAAACTGAAAGTCTCCTGGTTTTCTTTTCTTGTACTGTCTTTGGTTTTGGTATAACAGGGATACCAGCTTCATAAAATGACTTGGAAAGTGCTCTCTCTTCTGTTTTCTAGAAAAAATGATGTAAATTTTATGTTACTTCTCTAAATGTTTGGGAGAATTCTCCAGTGTGGAACTGAAGATTTCTTTTTCAGAACTTTTAAAATTACAGACTCAATTTTTTAAATGATTATAGAGCTATTCAGATTATCCATTTTATCTTGGTTGAGTTTTGGTAGTTTATGATATTTGAGGAATTGGTCCATTTCTTTCAAGTTGTTCAATTTATGAGCATAAAGTTGTTCAGTGTATTTGCTTATTACCTTTTAAATGCCTGCAGGAGCTGTAGTGACCCTTGTCTCATTTCTGATGTTGATTATCTATGTCTTCTTTTTATCTTTGTCAGTCTTGCTAGATGTTTATCAATTTTGTTGATGTCGTTAAAGAATCAACTTTTTGTTTCATTGATTTTCTCCTGTTGTTTTCCTTTTTTAAACTTCAGTGATTTCCACTCCAACCTTGAACATTTCCTTCTGCTTTACTTTGGGTATAATTTTGTCCTGCTCTTCCTAGTTTCTTGAAGTAAGAAGTTAGATTTTTAAATTTGAGACATTTCTTCTTTTTTTTTTTTTACTTTTTGGGTGGGGGAGTAATTAGGTTTATTTATTTATTTGTTTTTGGAGGAGGTCCTGGGGATTGAACCCAGGACCTCATGCATGCTAAGCATGCACTCTACCACTTGAGCTATTTGAGACATTTCCTCTTTTCTAATGTAGTAAGCATTTAATGTTATAGATTTCCCTCTTAGCTCTGCTTTAGCTGCACCCCACATATTTTGATGTTATGTTTTAATTTTCATTTAAGTTCTATGTATTTTTTGTAATTTCCTTTGAGATTCTCTCTTTGACTTATGAATTGTTTAGAAGTGTGCTGCTTAATTTCTAAGTGTTTGGAGGTTTTCCTGTTGTCTTTCTGCTCGCTGAATTTTAATAACTGTCTCTGACAATATTTTATCTCCATGAGAACAGACTTTTTCCCTTTATTCTACCATTATATCACTAATGCTGGAAACAGGACAATAGTTTGTGCTCAAAAAATAAGGATGAGTGAATGATGGAAATATTTAACTTAAAAATCAATAAAGGGAAAACTGAAAGTTAAAAAGAGGGAGGGAGGCATCAGGACACTGACGGTAATTATCACTGGGTGGGGAAATAAGGGTGTATTTTATTTCTTTTCTTATCTTTCATATTTTTCAAATTCTCTGAAATAAGCATGTACTACTTTTATAATCAGGTAAAGGAATTATAAAAGTGGAAGTTACACTTTCTGATCACCTTCACTCCCTCCCTGCAGGTCATATCAGAATTTGAATTGCTGAAAAAGCTGAAGATGAGAGGCAGGGCCACAGAAAGACCGGGAAGAAGATTCCAGAGATGAACTGACCCAAACTTTCAGGAATACAGGTAAGGGCCCTGGTAGCCACTCACTTTTTTAAGTTTCTGAGATTGCTGCTGTGATAATTTATCATGAGGACCATGTCCATTTTGAGTCATAAAGGTCAACTTCATCCTTCTTTTCTCACGCTCCAGAGGCCCCTAGTGACCTTGTGAATTAATATTCATACCAAAAGATCTGGTTTGCCTTTGGAAGTAGACCCTCCATCTAAGTCCAGCCTTCAAAATTCCTTTGATGGTTTATTTTGAGGAAGCAGTATTGGCATTTGTTTTCAGGGTTCATGGTATGCAAAAGATTACAAAAAGTAAGAGGGAGCAGAGCGTAGACACTATCTTTTTAAAATATAATTATCTTTTACACCTTTAGTCATAGTCTGTTCATGTTTTTTCAAGGCAATTTCTTCAGGAAACTGAGTAGACAAGGCAATTTGATGGTGACCCCTGATGGCTAAGGTCACTCAGAGAGTTCTTAGGTATGGACAGTTTCTGAAAATAACTGAATATGCTTTTCTACTTTTGAAAACAATGCTGAGAACTTGGTTTAAATTTTTAAAATATTTTCATTCAACAAAGAGATTGCATAGAGGCTGGAAATTTTTTTCACCCTTTTCCACTTTTGAGGTGAAGTGACGTATGTCCACGAGTCTCGCTTTGGCTAATGAAATGTGTGCAAAAGTGACACTTTGGGCAAAAACCTCAGGCCAGGGTGTAATTCACTACACTCTCTTCCCTCTTCTGTTGTGGTTGTGGATATGTGTGTTAAAATGAAGCCATTCAGGGTCCCAGAGTCACCATGGCAGACAGAGCACCCCATGATGACCTGCAATGGACAGGTGGCGTGAACAGAAAGCATTCATTGTGTAACGTGGCTAAGGTCTGATGGTTGTTACTGCAACATAACAGACTATACTCACTAATGAGCACGTGCGGGCACACTCACGCACACACACTTACTGAGTACCTATGTGTGCAAGGAAGGGACCCAGGGCTGTGGGGGTGGGGAATTCAAGGTAAAATGCAATCTCTGTCCCCAAAGAGTTTACAAGCTGGTTTGGCAGAGAAGATATCAGACAGTGCAGAATAATAATGACCCAAGGGTGCGTAGTTCGAGAGCAAAATGAAAACAACTAGATGTTTGTGTAGCTGGAGCCAGAGAAGGACTTGGTCCGGTGGGGCCCGGGCGATGTAAGAACAGTCTGTCTCCTCTCGGCCCCTCCGCATTCGCACTCCACCCTTCTCCCCATGGCGAGTTTGGGCTCACCATGGCAAACCCTTCAGTGTTTCAGACTTTCCCCTGTTTTACATATTTGAACCACTTTATGGGCTTCGGGAAATTCCTTGTAGCTCTTACATATCCCCATGTATTGTATCTATGTTGTGAAATTTTGACTGCCAGCTACATGTTGGTGCAACACAAGCAAAGGATTACTGTAACTGAGTTATTTTTAAAGTTAAAATGTAGTTTTATGTGCCTTTGGATTTTTATTGCTGAGTCCATATTTTATAGATACTGCATCAAATATGATCATTTGACTTTTTCCATTGGGGTTCCATTGTAAGCTGCGTAGGTCTATGTTTGGAAAAGTGTATTCCTACTTGGATTTTTTTTTTTAAAGTCTATTGTACTTTCCACAGCAGCCAACAATGCATTGTAAAGTGTAAAGACACAGGTTACTCCCAATGCTTTTGCAGAGACTGTGGGCTACACCACATAATGTTATTTGGAAATACGGGTATTTTTTGTACCGCACATAGTCGCATTACACAGGTATTTCATACAACACAATAAAAAGTAAATGTTAAAATTTAAAAAAAAAAAAACCTGTCTGCACTACGTTAGTAGGCTCCTCTCTCTCTGGCTCCTGATCAGGTTGGGTCAACAGGGGGATGGGGCGAGGACTTAGCAGAAGACTGGAGGCAGAGGGAGGGTGAAGCTGGAATATCGACTCCTCTGGCTGCCTTCTCGCAGCTTCTCACAGCTCTCACAGGCTGGCTGCACCCCTGGGCTGGAGGTCTCAGCTCCTGTCAAAATGACCCTCCCTACTCGACTGTCTCCTTCCAGATTCCCGCAAAGCCCTCTTCCCTCACCCCGCCCCCGCTTAGGCTCAGGGGTGGTAAGAGTCCCATAATCAGTGATTAAGCTCAGTATCCTCATTATCCCCTTTGGTTTCCTGATATCCTGCCCACACCTTTGTAAACAGTCTTTTTTTTTTTTTTAAGAAGACCTAAATTATCCTATTCGGAGCTTGCCATCTGTTTCCTGATAGACCCTGAACCAAATGATCCCGCTTTGGGGAGCCAGCCAGGGAACTGAAGTGACCGTGCTTTGTCTAATTATAGGGTCAGTTGGTAAAAGAAGCAGGACGCTTTTAAATGATCAGTTCTTCATTAAGAAATGAATTTGTACATTACTCTGCTTCCCCCACCCAAACTGGAAGATTCTGCTCCAAAGTGGAAACGGGTTGGAGTCAAAGCATTGGCCTCTTTGCACTTATGATGAGCGAGTGGGCCCCTCACAGCCTTTGTCTCACAAAGCCCTTTGCAAATGCTGGGGCCACAGGAGCCAACCAGGATGCCCTGTCACCTCCAAGGAGCTTCCCCATCCCCCCTTGGCTGGCAGAGTGGACACAGAATTCCAGCCACTGTTTTTGACTTGAACCTGAGGACAAAAGCCTAACTTCTAGCTGCTCAAGGAAATTCTAGACCTTTCTTTTGGGTTCCCACATATAGCATAGAGGTGCTTGGGAAAGAAACACCATCTCTTTGCCATAACCTTACCCACTGGGAGTTGTCCTGTGTCCTGCCCTGGGATTCTTGTTTCAAATTCACTGAATTTATTCATTTGTTAGTTGGTTTTTCACATGGGGAGTCAAAGGAGCCTTTGCAAGAGTTGGACTTGGGAGAGTTCTGGGCTCTGTTCTCTATTCCCCCACCCCCGTCAGCCCCTGCTCCTTAGCTGTACCCCACTCTGGAAGGTGCAGCCAGGAGGAGGCTGGTACCTGGAGCCCCGGCATTTCCCAAAGCAGCTGGAATGAGCAGATGCTGACTGCAGCTGCTGGGGCTGGACCTGGAGGGCAGGTCCACTCGGGCATGCTAGGATATAAAGCTAGAGGAATGCAGGCAGTAGTTTGGAAGATTTAGGAGTTCTTAGGCTATCACCGGATTCTACTGTGTTGTCATTGACATACATTTGTATTCTCTCCTGAGCAGGTAAGAGGTGGGGAGAACAAAGGGAGTGCGTCCCGCCTTGCCAGGTCTGCACAGCTGGGCAGATGAGAGATGCAGAGGAGGGGGTCGGGGATTGTCTGGGAGTCTGAGCATCCTGTTTCTCTTTGTGCGCCGGAGGGTGCACGCCAGGGCCTGTGGCAGTACTGCTGGGATGTAACTCACAGTAGCACAGCTTGTGCTAACAACTCCCTTGAAGTAAAAACATGCTTTTCAAGGAAACAAATACCGATTCAATCAGCAAACAGCAGAGATCTCTCATTATAATCATAAAGAAAGGCAGGGCTGTCGAGCAGCATAAGAGCTTCTGGAAAGGAGAGAGGAGATATTCTGGAAGGAAGGAGCAGGGAACAGAGCCCGGGCCCCGGCCACCCTCATCTTTTTGGTCAGATACTGGGAGCATCTTCTGGAGCAGGGGAGAAACAGCAGCTCCTAAATGCCAGCTGCTCTTCCAGAGGTGACCAGACTGTAGCTTCTCCATGGAAGTTGCCCTAAAGCAGGGCTCTCATGCTCTACTGTGCACAAATGGCCCCTGCAGATCTTGTTGAAATGCAGGTTCTGGTTCCGTAGATCTGGCCTGAGAGTTTGCACTCCTAACAAGCTCCTAGCTGAGGGTGATTCGGCTGGTCCACGGAACATACTGAGAATAAGTAACGAGGTGCGGGAAGGTGCTGACGGCTCAGTACCACTTCCCTTCCCTCCAGGCTATAAGAAAACAGAAGCAAGTGTAAATACCCAATTCAGCAGCCTGGGAAGTTGGATGAAATGACCCAAGCCTTGGCCTGGTGACCTAGCAGCTGCCCCAGGAGCTCCTTCTCCAAACTCCCCTGCGCTTGCTCCCAAGAGTGAGTGACGTGCAGGGGTTGGTTGGGGTCAGCTGTCCCCAGGAAAAGAGACCGGTCACCTGGCACAAGTGCGCGGGGCAGCTTACCTTTGTGGCTTTACCCCAGTCCTGGACATATGGGCCACAAAACTTGGCTGGCCACTCACTGACACTCATTCGTTCATTTCTTCACTACTTAGTGAGCTTCTAGTACCCCAGACACAGGGGTCCAGAGAGGAAGGAGCAGATGTGTCCTCCTGAAGCTTACTGGACTGCCAGCCCCTGGGAATGGACCCATTTCTCAAGGACATGTGGCTGATGGATAAGAAAACTGATGTTTATTTAGGATAATATTTGTACTAGTGATGATGGGAGCTTACACGTCTTTAAAGGCCTGGGATGTACTCACTGTTGTGCTGAGCACTTTGCATGGACCATCTCATTAATCCTCACAGCAGCCTGTGGGGCAGCTACTGTTATTAAATCCACTCCAAAGATGAGGAAACTGAAGCTCAGAGAGGTTAGATAACCTTCCAGAGGACACCAGCGAGTGAGGAGAGGAACTGAGATTCATGCCCAGGCAGGCTGGCCCCAGTCTAGGCTCTGAGCCTCCAGCCCCACAGGCTGGGTCTGCACTTCCGCTCATGGGCACGTGCCCTGCCCGTGGGGAGAGCTGCTAAGCCAAACCACAGTCAGTGGCTAAGTGAGTATGGAATCTGATGGTGGGTAGCGGGGCATCGGATGAGGTGGGTGATATTAATCACAGAAGCATCCCACTCTAAAACTTGATGTTATGAGTACACCTTCAGCACAGGCCAGGCACTCGAGTTCCTGGCCCAGAGTCCCCTTCTTTCCCCTGGGGAAAACCAAGAACACATTGCTTGGCTTTGCTAAGTCTTGCTCCTCTCTTCCCTGGATTTCCCTAGCTTTACACACGCACACGCACACTGGTGATGACCAC